ATAGAAAGCCAGGAAAAGAAGACACGCAGATACCAACAAAAGAAAAAGAGAAAAAGTTGCATCATATACTAAGAACTCACACAAGGAAACTTGATAATTGTTGCAGTGCAGCAGTTATTGAGGGATGCTCATACGTTTTTGTTAGAAAGGTGATGTGTGGCCTGCTTAGTCCACAGTAGTCTTTGAATCCAAAAATATAGCCATGTTAGTCTGTGGAATCAGTATGCAGAGAGATCTTGTAACACCTTGGAGACTAACTGAAAGAAAGAAGTTGGCAGCATGAGCTTTCATAGACTTCAGTCTACTTCCTACTTCAAATGCATCTGAGAAAGTAGACAATAGGCTTCGGCAGACGACTAATTGAGTCGTCTTCGAGGCAAGGAAGAAGAGGGGCAGCCGCACGCGCGGCGCCCTTCCTCTTCCTGAGATCGTCCTCGGAGCCGCCGGCCCTCCGCACAGCCTGCGCTCCGGGGACAACCTCCCGCAGCAGCGTCCGCACGCGCTGCGGCGGAAAAGGCAGGGAAAGTGCGCCCTATGCTTTTAGGCCGCACTTTCCCTGTCTTGTGGAAGGAGCGCTGATTTAGCGCTCCTTCCAGGGATGCCGCCGGAGTGCAGCGGTGCGGAGGCTGCGCTCCCGCGGTGTTCCATCCAGAGGCATCTCCGGCGCCTCCGTCTGCTTCCCCCCTAAGTCTACAAATGCTCATGCTGTCAACTTCTTTTCTCAAAGGTGCTACAAGAAAACTCTACACACAGTAGTCTTTGTTAGTCTTTGTTTGACTATCTGATGCTTCAAGATATATGCAGTGGCTCTTTCATATTGCAACAACTCAGGGGGAAGCACCTTCTACACATGGAATAAAGAACAGGGGTGTTAAGAAAGAAGTTACTTTTGCAAGCTTTGCCTTCAATCCTTCAAAATGGAGCCAATGATACATATTTATGTATTGAATTTCTTATCCCATCTTTCTCCTGAGAACTGAATGTGCTACTGCAGACCTAAAGAATGTGTGACCACACAATGTGTGACCACACAAAACAACATATGTGTGACCACACAAAACAACATATCACAAACTGAATGGAAGCAAAGGACTTGAACTCAAGGAATCTGAATGCAATGTCAAGATGCCTTGTTCCCTGGAAAACAGTGGTGGCTGGTGGCCTCCATTTCAGTGGAGCAGTGAAT